TTTTTTATTTTACCTTCTAAAACTACCCCCTTCCCACTAGCATTCACTATGTTAGGCATTCCTTCAGACTTCTCAGTGAAGACCGAAACAAAAGTCATTGAGCATCTCTGCCATTTCCAAGTTTCCTGTTACTGTTTCTCCCTCCTCACTGACCAGTGGGCCTACCCTCTCCATCTTCCTCTTGCTTCTAATGTATTTATAAAAAGTCTTCTTGCTTCCCTTTATTCCCATAGCTAGTTTGAGCTCATTCTGTGCCTTTGCCTTTCTAATCTTGCCCCTACATTCCTGTGCTGTTTGCCTATGTTCATCTTTTGTAATTTGTCCTACTTTCCATTTTTTATATGACTCCTTTTTTATTTTTAGATCATGCAAGATCTCGTGGTTAAGCCAAGGCAGTCTTTTGCCATATTTTCTATCTTTCCTACGCAGCAGAATAGCTTGTTTTTGGGCCCTTAATGTCCCTTTGAAAAACTGCCAACTCTCCTCAGTTGTTTCTCCCCTCAGTCTCGATTCCCATGGGACCTTACCTATCAGCTCTCTGAGCTTACCAAAATCTGCCTTCCCGAAATCCTTTGTCTCTATTTTGCTGTTCTCCCTTCTACCCCTCCTTAGAATTGTGAGCTCTATGATTTCATGATCACTTTCACCCAAGCTGCCTTCCACTTTCAAATTCTCAACTAGTTCCTCCCTATTTGTTAGGATCAAATCTAGAACAGCTTCCCCCGGTAGCTTTTTCAACCTTCTGAAATAAAAAGTTGTCTCCAATGCAGTCCAAGAACTTATTGGATAGTCTGTGCCCTGCTGTGTTATTTTCCCAACATATATCCGGATAGTTGAAGTCCCCCATAACCACCAAATCTTGGGCTTTGGATGGTTCTGTTAGTTGTTTAAAAAAAAGCCTGATCCACTTCTTCCATCTGGGTAGGTGGCCTGTAGTAGACTCCTAGCAAATGTACAGTCAGGCCTCTGAGCAGGGCCGGACATTACAGCTCAGGGGCGAAGGCTGGAACTGGCTGGTTCTGAGTGACTGGGGAAAGCGTTCGTGTAACTCGGTGTGGATAGCTGTGGGAGTGCTGGACCTGGTGGGGTCTGTGCCATGTCACAGGAAGGGAGCCCACAGTTGGTAAGACAAAGGGTTCAGTGGTACCCCAATTCCAGGCTGCACCTTGGGAACTCCATCACACCCACCCCTTGGCTATTTATGCAACCACCCCTTTGGCTTGGGCAGCCGGTTACACAGGGACCCCTCACCCAGCACGGAGATGCAGCCACCCTAGGGGCGAAGCAGTTGGTTACCCAGTGACCCTGGGCACAGGGCTAAGAAGCCACCTTGCTCAGCAAGTTCACTAACTGAGGAGAGTGCCCTCAGCTGAGATCTCCATCCTGCTCCCAGCCCCACAGCTGCCTCTAGCCCTGTCCTGGGGCCAGCCCTACCTGCCAGGGGAGAGCAAGCCCTGCGAGGCCCCACCCACAGCACAGCAGCCCCTAGTACCAGCAGCTCACCCGTCTCGGCTGTCTTGACGGCTGTATCAATGAGACCCTCACGCCCACCCATGGCGTGGAAGAAGAACTCGGTGGGTGTCAGGCCAGCCAGGTAGGAATTCTCCACGAAGCCCCGGCTCTCAGGCCCGTAGTCGTCCTTGATGAAATGGGGCAGCGTGCGGTGCTTGAAGCCAAATGGGATCCGCTTCCCCTCCACGTTCTGCTGCCCCACCACAGCAATGACCTGGGGTGGGGAGACAGGGAATGAGCCTGGTGCGAACGCTGGTCCCTAGCCCTCCCCTCAGAGTGGAAACCCCACAGAGCTCTCCATTTCACTGGAGTTAACATCACTTGCCAAGCCAGGACTGGGTCTCCCCTCTTCACCCAGCCCTAGCCCACGTCCCCAGGATAGGTGGAGATGCCATGGGCTGCATGGACATCCCCCCCGACTGAGATCAGGGCCCCTGTTGTGTTTGGGGACGCGTGGGCTCCCCAGACATCTACAGCTGGAACAAAAGAACCTGCACAATTTCCTTTTTGAGAGGGGTTCATCAGCCAGAAGGGCTGCTCCTGGGAGCGGTCTGGACACACAGCTCCTAAATACATCTGCAGGTTCTGCTGCTGCTTCCCCCCACACCAGCCCCACAGATTCTAAGGAAACTGGGGACAAGGTGAAACCACCTGTTGGGTGGGGGGTTGACAGAGAGTCCCCTCCCCCAAGTAAGAGGGCAGGGCAGCTGAGAGAAAGGGGTACTGCAGGAGAAGGGGGGGGTCCCTTCTCTGGGAAGGGTGTAGGATGAGGCCACAGGAAGTGGGGCAAGGAGAAGCCACCTCCCACTTTCCCAGCTGAGGGGGTGGGGCACAAAGAAGCCTTCCACTCCCAAAAGGGAGGCTCCAGGGCCCCATAAGCAGGTTCGAGCCCTGGCTCGGGGGCAGCACCCACCTGGGAGATGTTGATCTTAGAGCCCTTGGCGCCCGACACCACCATGGACTTGAAATTGTTGTACTCTGACAGGGACTTCTGGGCGGAGGAGCCAGTCTTGTCACGGGCATCATTCAGGATGCGGTTCACCTGGTTCTCGAAGGTTTGCCGCAGCGTGTTGCCTGGCGTGGGCTCTAGCTCATTGTTGTGAGCCTTCTCAATCACCTGGGGAGTGAAGCGGGATCCAGGGCATGAGCCAGGGCCCTTCCAACCTACCACAAGCCCTCCCACTCCTCTACTGCCCCTCCACCACAGCTCTCTCAAACCTACTGCCAGGCCCCCCACTACCCCTCCGTCCTCCAAACCCACCGGTCCTACTCCTGTTCCCCAAGTCCTTCTGCTTCCACAATGCAACCTCCCAAACCCACACCCCACATCCACCCCCGCCACAAAATCCATCTTCCAGACACTTCTATCTCTCCAACCTTCCCCCATAACATGCTCCATGTCCCTCCATCTATCCCCCAAAGCACAGTCCCTCCACCATTCCAACCTGCCCTCCAAATCTATTCCCCAACCCTAATTTTCTTGTCCTCCAAACCCAGCCTCCCAGTGTCTTCTATGGATGTTGAATATAGATTAATTTACTAGCTGAGTAGTCGATGGAATTTTCATCGACATCTTGATAGGCACTTCCACATTCCTCTTTTGAAATTTACAAGAGCCCCAGCAGTGACTCCCCCCGGGGCCAGCAGAGCAAGTCCTGCCGGCCCCACGCTGCACGCCACGCCACATGCCAGCTATGGAATGTATAAAAGCTCTTGTGCATTTCAAAGTGGAAGCGCCCGCATGGAGCCTGGGGTCAGCAGGACTTGCTCTGCTGGCCCCAGGTGGAGTCACCCACTGACTCTGGGCTCCCTGCAGTGCTGCTGCTGCTCTTAAATGCCCCACGGAGCCCAGACCCCGAGTTTCATGAAAATGCCAGGCGCAGCCACTCCCCAGCTGACCCTGGGCTTTGCACTGTGCTGCTGCCTTCAAGTACCCCCTTTTCTCTCCCCCCCTTGCTTTCTCTATCTGATGGTGGCAGCAAGTGGGGGGGAGGGGGGGAGTGTGACACTTGCCCACTATCCGATGAGCATTTGCTTATTGCAGTGGTGCATAACCTTTTTTCAACTGCGACCTCCAAGATCATTTGAGCAGCGTGGCGCTTAGATCCAGGGGCTGGACCCAGCCATTGGCTGCCCCGCAGTGCGGTGCTTAGATCCGGCCGGGGGGGGCCGTAGGCAGCCCCCCTGGAAGACATCCGCAACCCCCCACCCACGGGTTGCACACCACTGGTTTATTGGACAATCGACTAGTCCTTTACATCTCTAGTCTCTTCTACGATTCCCCCGACTTCCCTGCTCTCCCCCTCCCCAGTAGCTCCCATTCCCTCCCCCCGTCCCCCAAGTCCCTGATTCCCTTATTTCCCACCTAGGGGCTCCATCCAGCCCCTGCCATCACCCCACAGGCCTACTCCCCTGGGAGTCTCTTCCAGTCCCCCCAGGCAGCTCAACACTCCCCTCCTGCCTTCCCCAGGCCTGGCACCTCTATGACGTCCTGCTTGGCTTTCTTGATGGTGTTTTGAATGTCCTGGTAGGTCTTGGCATCAGCGATGGAGTCCCCAATGCCAATGGTGTGACCTGGGGATGAAAGACTGGTCAGACCTGGCCCCCAGGACTGGCAGGGCTGCTCTCCTCATTTCTCAGGTCCTGCTGAGCCCTGGGCCACTAGTGGGATCCACCCAGGAGCCTCAGAAATAGGGGGAGGGTGGATTTCTGGTTTCCACCGGCTCATGACAGACCCAGGGTCCCACCTCCAGAAGGCAGCAGCACTGACTAGGGGCTAGGAGCCGGGACACCTGGGTTCTCTCCCTGGTTCTGGGAATGGAGTGGGGGCTGGTGGGTTAGAGCAGGGTTCTGGGAGCCAGGGTTTTCCTGACATCAGGCGATTCCCTTCCCTGTCCACCCTTTGTCTCAGACTGGAAGATGTCTGGTGCAGGAACAGTCTCCCTCTGTGGTATGGTGGGTCCCTAATCTCATTCTGGGGGGGACAAGGGGTGGGCAGAACAGGAGACCCAGTCTCCCCAGTAGCGCTTCTAAGCAGCCAGTCCTTTCTGCAGGAGCAGGCAGCTGTGCCTGACTCACCCTCAATGAGCAGCCAGTTGTTGATGACAGTCTGGATGTTGCTGTAGAAGAGGCGGGTTGTGTCATGTCCCATCTCCAGATAGGAGATGTGCACCAGGGAGCCAGCCGAGGTGCCCAGTGATTTCTTGCAGAGGATGCCCATGATGAGCTCGCCATTCTCTACGATCACCTGGTGGGACAGGAGATTGTGAGGAGGAGGAGGAGGAAGGCCAGGCTGCTCTTCCCCTCTCTGGCCCCATGGACAAGCACCTTGGTGTCGCCGGGAGAGATGTGCTTGTAGGGCCCACTGTCCTCATCGTCGGGGTGGGTGCTGTGTGTGCGGATGCAGTTGATGTGCCCCGGAATGATGAGGGAGAAAATCTGTTTGCCTGTCCAGAGTGGGCGGGGCTTGAGGATGGCTGGCTGCGGCACCTTCCCATCCCACGTGGACAGGAACATGAGCAAGTTCATCACCTCGCCCTGTGGAGACCAGTGTCAGTGTGAGGTGAGGGATGTCACTTGCCAAGCCTCCTGCTGGACCCTCCCCCCAGGGGCTCACCCCTGAAAGCTGGATCCTCCCGCTGCCCCCAGGGGCCTGCACTCCTGTCAGCCAGACCTTCCTGCCAGCCCTAGCCGCCCATACCCCCGCCAGGTGGACCCTCCCGCCAGCCCCCGCTGTCACCAGGCTGCCCACACCCCTGCTGGGCTGTCCTGCCAGCCCCAGCCATCCTGAGTACCATTGGATCCCTCCCCCAATTATAAACTGAGCCCCCTTTCTCCCATAGGCCTCCTGGCCCAATGCTCTCTCTTCTTGCAGGCCATGCTACCCTTCCCTGCCCAGCATCTCCCTCCTCTCCAGCCCCCAAATTCCATCCTCCCCCAGGCCTCCTGGCACCCAACCCAGTACTTCCTCCTCCCCTGGCACCCCCATTCACCTTGGCTATATTACACGCTGGTGTTACAAAGTAGCCCTTGTGAATTTCATTTGAAAAGCTGGATCTGTGGAGCACCAACTGCCTGTCGGCTGGCATGTGCTGGCGTTGCAGGGGAGCCCTTTGCTATGGGTGTGCAGCTAAGCTTGAGAACAGCCCAAGCCAGGCCCAGGCAGGAAACATGTGCCATGAAAGGAAACAATGTATGCAAGTCCTCCTGGGATAGCCCTGGGCAGCAAGGCAGGTTGCTCAGAGGAGGCACTGAACCAGCGGAGACTGTCTCACGTCCCAGCGAAGTACTTGGAAGTTCCTGATTGATTCCCCCAAGGCAGGGAAAAGGGGGGGGCAACCAATTTTTTTCCTCTTCACGTAGGTGCTTGGCTAATCAGCTGGGCAGCACCCGAATCTCTCATGGGCAGCCACCCAAGCACTCAGTTTACAGGGACCACTGAACACAACACCATCACTTGGCCTCACCCTGCCCACAACTCTACACCTGGAAACAAGTCTGGAAAGACAGAAGAGGGGAGCTGGTCCCAGGCTGGCAGGGAAAAACCCAGCCTGTGTCGGAAGGAACTATACCAGCAGAGTGAAACACTGCGTGAGTCAAACCCTGACTAGTCTGTAGAAATATGGGATTTCTAGAGCCCGATAAATCCATAGGTTTCCGTGGCTCATTTTTGCAGATACGGATACAAATTTAATACCTAAAACCCTGCAAATTTGTGGATCTCCATGGATGTGGCTCCCTGTGGCTCATTTTTGCAGATGCAGATACAATTTTGTAACCACACAGGGCTCTCGTTATTTCTTGACCTGTACGCTGTGTGCTTGGGCAGCCGCTCAGGAGAGATTCATATGCCGCCCAGCTGATGAGCAGAGTGCCCACAACTAGATTTGTGTTTCTATTGGTGGTCCACATTTGCACATGCTTCTGTGCACATAAAATTGCTTCCACATGTGGATGGAAAAAATCTGCATGGGGGTGAAAGACTAGAGGGAACATTGCCTGCAATCTCTTGAAATTGACATTTCTGCAGTAGTAGTTAAATCTGTTTCACATATAAAAGCATCTGGTGTCTGAAGAGCTTGGGGAATCCCTGCTCAGGGAGCAAGGAGTGGTGCGTGTCCTCTCCACGTCGAGGGGTGGGGGAAGCGCAGAGTGGGACTTACATTGCCAGGCCTCTGAGTAGGGCAGGGTGGGACAGCTCTGGGGCCCTAGGCTGGGGGAATGGGCTAGAGTTTATGGCTGGTTTGTAAGCAGCTGGGGAAAGCATTCCTGTAACTCTGGATGTGGATGGTTGGGGGAGGGCAGGACCTAGCAGGGTTTGCAGCTTGTCAGAGGGGAAGATGGGTCCCAGTAGTTAGAACAGAGCTGAGTGGTACCCCATTTCCAAGCTGCATGCAGGAGAACCCTCCCAACCCCCCACTCACCCTCTCCAAGAAGACGTCCCGTTTGGTGAACTTGCGGACAGCTGTGAGCGTGTCCTGCACGATGCCCATGACTGGCCGGTTGGACTGGGGCGTGACAATCATCCGGGGCACCATGGCGAGCTCCTGGATCTCCGCCCGCGTCTCCAGCGACTGAGGCAGGGGCAGGGGCTTCTCATCCCCATCAAAGTCAGCGTTGTACGGGGTGGTCACACTGCACGGGGTGGAGGGACACAGCCCATGAAGGGTGGGAGCGCCACCCCGCCCTGCCTGGGGGGCTGTGCCCAGCAGATCAGACATCCACACAGCAGCGATCCGGGGCCACATCAATGGACCTGCAAGGCTGTCCCACATGTCCAACTACCCCACCCCCACAGATACCCCCATGAGGGGAAGGGGGTGTGGCTGCAGAGAGTCCCTGAAATGGAAGGGGTGCACAGGGAGAAGTGTGTTGTGGGTTTGCACAACCCCATTGCAATGAAGGAGCTGATCCAGGATTGGGACACCCAGCTGTTGCACCTCAATTTGACCCCCCCAGGCCATGTAACTGCCCCCCAATTTAGGTCCCATGGGGGGGCTAGGGTGCAGCCCAGAGCAGGGGAAGTGAGAGACTCCAGGGTGAGAGGAGCCAGGAGATAAACCCCACCCTCATTTCGGGGAGGAGGCTACGGCCTGCAAGCCCTCACCTGAGATTGAGGCGAAAGGTGGACCAGGGCAGGATCCGCACTCGATGGCCCATCATGGACATCTTGTGCAGCGTGGGCTGGCGGTTGAAGATGACGATGTCTCCATCACACATGTGCCGCTCCACCTAGGAGGAAAAGGGGGAGGGAAGTGAGTGGTACAGGTCACCTCAGGGTGCCCAAATAACCCCGCCCCACAGACCCTTCACCCTGTCCTATTTCCCACACCCCTCTCGCCCTGCAGGTCCCCTCACTGAACCTCAACTCTCCCCCAAAGATCTTACCCTCACACCCTTCCCTCAACCACTCATACCCTACCTCTTTCCAAGCCCTCCCACCCTTTCCCCAATCAACGTGCCCTCAGACACTGCCCTTACTTGCTCCTGCGATCCCTCGGCCCCCCCCTCCTGTCAGACTCCCTGGCACAATTGGAACCATGTGCCTGGAAATCACTCCCACCGGGTGACCAAGCCCAATCTGCACCAGGGATGTAAAATCCCAGCTAAAAAGTTAACTAGTTATATGTAACATTTAACCAGTTACCTGTGATCCCACAGCGGGGGCTGCTCCAGCCCGGCCGGGCCAGAGCACCCACTGCCCGCAGCATGTTGGCCTGGAGCAGGCCCCCACTAGTTAACCAGTTACCTCAGTAAAGGGCATACTTACTAGATAACTGGTTAACCCTTTACATCCCTAACCTGCACACACATTCCGGGTCCCCAGGCCTAATCTGCACAGAGACTCCATGTGGTCACTGGGTGAATCTCCAACCCACACTGCAGGCCAGTCTGGGAGATGGGGAAGCAACGCCCCTCACCCCCCACCTTGTAGCCGATCTGCAGGTGCAGGTCACTGGGCTTGGGATGGAAGCGCAGGTCAATGCGGTCGCCGTTGTCTCGGATGATGTACTTCGCCCCCGGGTACTGGCTGTTGCCCCTGCGCACCAGTTCCTGCAGCCTGCGGGGACAGGGCATAGGTGTTAGCTGGTGAGGAGCCATATCTGCCCTGCCCTGCATCCTGCCGCACACGCCAGCAGCCTCACCTGTCTATGTTGAAGGGTGTCACTATCTCGGCAAATGTCATGTTGGCAGCTATGGAGCGGGGTACCCCCACCTGGTCGATGGAGAGGTTGGGGTCTGGAGTGATGACCGTCCGGGCGGAGAAATCCACCCGCTTCCCCATCAGGTTTCCCCGCACACGCCCCTCTTTCCCCTTCAGCCGCTGCTTCAGGGACTTGAGGGGGTGCTCCACATAGGGTTGTGCTGGCAGCTGCAACAGGGGCACCCACTATCTGGTTGAAGTGCAGCACTCAGGAACCACCATCATTAGTATGGAAGTTCTGCCTGGCAAGACTACGAGCCCCAGCATGCAACACTGGTCCACAAGCAGAACCACGGAATGCAAATCCCAGCATGCAATGCTGCACCTTGAGCCAACTGGCCCAGCAAAAATGTATCCCAGCATACAGCATTCCATCACAAGTCGTGCCAACCACAAATCCCAGCATGCAATACAGGCACCTTGAGCCAAGCCAGAAACTACAAACCCCATCATGCAATGCTGCACTTCAATTGCAGTCCCAGCAGACATGACTGGGCACACAATGTTCCATCACAAGTCAAGCAGCAAGCAGCAAAGATCACAAGCCCCAGTATGAAATTGGCCTTTCCCAAAATAGACATACGACCCACAGGGGCACTCCCCAGCATGCAACACTTCATCAACTGAAACTACAAATCCCAGCATGCAATGCTCTATCTTTCCACCCCCTGTATAAAATTCCAGTTTGGGAAAGGTCCCAGCACAGACACAGGCAATGGAGACTACAAATCCTAATATGTAACACTGCCAGCCGTGAACCAATAGATGGGAAGGACACACAAGTCCCAGCATATACTGCACTGCCAGGCTCCCAGCACAGGGAGGAGAACCAGTCCCCAGCTCAGAGGAGCTGTGCTGGAAAAAGCCATCTGCCCCTCCCTGCCAGGGCTGGCTGTGCTCACCCGGGGCAGGCCAGGCAACTCATTGTCCACCATAGTGGCCACATGGAACTGCAGCAGCTTCACATCCTCAGCAATGACATGGGCAGCTGCCCCGTTCTGCTCATTGCGCCTCAGCTGGTTGTTGATCTTCACGACATCAGCCAGCTTGTGGGTCAAGTCATCCTGAGGGCAGAGGAACAGCAAGAGTCAGGGCTCCATCACCCCCAGGGAGAACCCTGGAGTCCTGGTTCTTCACCCCAGCTCTAACCCATTAGCTGCCACTCCCCTCCCTGAGCCAGGGAGAGATCCTAGGAGTGCTGGCTCTCCCACAGGGCTGACCTGGTTCCTGGCAGAGCCCTGCATTACTACGGCTGGACGGACAGAGAGTGGGGGCACGGGCAGGACAGTGCAGATCATCCACTCAGGCCGGGCAAACTTGGGCTCCATGCCAAGAATGAAACACTCCTCGTCCGAGATGCGCTTGAAAATCTCGTGCACCCGCTCTGGGCTAAGCAGGATCTTCTTCTCCTGCGAATCCTCATTGACGTGTTTCCATTCGGCATAGAGCTCCAGGCCAGTGCGTCGGATGCGCGGCTGGTACCGGCCGCAGCCCCCGTGGCCCTGGGGAAGGAAAGGAGCTCTGGTCAGGTCCAGCCTGGTATGAGCCCGGCTCTCCAGCCCCACCAGGTCTCCTCCCTACCTTCTCCTTGGTCAGGTCCTCGTCTCCTTCTGGCTGCTCCACGCCAAACTTGTTGTCCATCTCCTCCCCGCCCTCGCAGATGTTCTTGCCCTTGCACAGGTCGTAGACATGGGTCAGCCGCTTCTTGGGCTGCCCTTTCGACTTTCCAAGGATGTCTTTGATCTTCGGGTTGTTCTGGAGGGAGAGAGTAACATTGGTGGCTCAACATTGAGCAGAGCTCCCTAGGCGACTGGGGAAACCCCTTGACTCTCGGATGGGGGAGAGGCAAGGAGGGTGGGTGGGACTCATGGGATGGATTTATGGCTGAGGTCCCCAAAGTGTAGGGGGAGGCTGGAATGTCTGGCAGCCATGGGCCAGCCCCCATGGTCCTTTTTCCTCTAGCTTTACTCCAGCACTGCCCCCAGCTTTGGTGCAGCCCGAGCTCCACCCCTTTCACTGCACCTCCACCCCACTTCAGAGCTGTGATCTCATCCCCTTACACTGTCTGCATCTTCCATCCCAGAGCCAAGACTCCATGCCCAGCCCCTTCCCCAGCTGCAATGCCAGGCTCCTTACCCGCGGATGCTCCTAGCTGGGTATGAATAGGGATGGGGGAAGTGACGCTCAAATTTGGGGACCACTGGTCTATAGTCTACAGAGCAAGCAGGGGCAGAGGAGGGACTTGGCTCAGGGTGGAGAGAGAACGGATTTCTGGGAGGGAGGTGTCCATCAAAAGAGGCACAACTGTACTGGGGCCAGACCACAGTGCCCTCCTCCCAAAACAGAAAAAGGGGGAGGCCAAGGTCAGGGATCAAGGGTGACTGGAGATGGGAAGGAGGGTCTATAAGAGCCCCCAGAAGGGTGACACCAGTTCTAGCTCTGTCACAGTTTCCAACAAAGAGGCTACCCAGTCTGGGGAAGGGGGAACACGAAGAGGCCACTCACCGAGTCCACCAGCAGCTTGGAGCAGAAGAAGCAGACGCAGCGCAGAACCTTCATGGTCTTGCCCAAGAAGCCCACATGAAAGACTGGTTTGGCCAGCTCGATGTGCCCGAAGTGGCCTGGACACTCGGTCATATTCCCTGCAGGGACAGCAGCCCCAGTGAGCAACGCGGCTACAGCACCCCAGAAAGACCCTCGCGCTGCAGCCTGGTGCATGGCCAACACCGTGGGCCTTTCTCCTCTAGGGGCACAGCTCCCACCTGACTCCAAGGCAGGGACTGGTTGGCTCAGAGGGGTGGGAAATGGGGCTGTAGAGGTTTGATGCACAGCAGTTTGCCAGGCAATACGTACACAAGCTTCCAGCATCTGGCAAAGCAGGGCCAACATCCGGGGTAGGGAGGATGGGAGTAAGGATACAAGGGTGGATTTGATTTAAACCATGATTTAAATCACAAGTCAGAAAGACTTTTTAATCATGGTTTTCTACATAAAAGTGCATTCTTGATGTTTGTCATAATCTTAATACATATTCTTCACAACTCAGATAGATGCAGGTTTCCTTTTTAGAAGGCACACGCTATACATTTCTAAACAGTGATTTATTCTGAAAACATTTCAGATTAGTTGTACAACTATATCAGAAGACGAATGATTGTTTGGTTTTCTCATTTACTAAAGGAAATTGAAACAGATATATATGAAGTCATTGGGAGGTGAACTATCTCCAATTCAATGGGTTAATCAATGTTTGGAGGATTTTCTTGTTATGCTGTATTAGGAGAACACCACTACACGGACATTTAAATTGTTCTATTTAATTAAAACAACATTATGTATTCCAGATCTTTTTCTTCAACACCATGTAATATTTTATCAAAACAAGCATATGCATTTTTTAATTTAGTTAAGCTTTCAAGCTTTTTTAAAATCAAGTTTATTTGTTAAAATTGTTTAAATAAAATATTTAAATTAAATATTGTTTACATGAAAATTAAATTGACTGTCAGCTAAGTCAAGATGAGAAACTTAAAATATTGGTTTATATTCACTGAACTTTTTGAAACTTTACACTTTTGGAGCGGTAAAGGACTGACTGTGCGCCCAAATTTGCAAAGGGATAATATGGTCATGGTCTGTTATTTCTCACCTCTATATATTTATTTATTTGAAAACATTTCTGCTCTTAACAATCACATTAGCTCTGGGAGCACTACAAAACTAAGAATCTCTGATGGTATCTTCTAGACCAAGCTCCACTGCACAAATAAAAAGATTAACCTAAATAATCTGTACAGAAGCCCTCTGGAACCCCATACGATTTATTCCCTAATCCATGAACTATTGGAACTCATGTACAAAACTTTTCTTAAACATTACATGAATTAGAATTCATATACCCTATTCCATGATGAGATATCTTTGAGCTATGATGCATCTTATTTAAAACTATCTTTACATAGGCTTTTTCCCTCAAAAAAATCCAATTTTTAAAAATAATTTATATTTATCCACTCTACAGGGTACCCCCGTCCGAGGATCTCAGTCTCCAGCAGGCTGCCATCTCCCCCACACCACCCTCAGAAGCAAGGACTTTTGGTCTCACCTGCACATGTCTGGCACCGGCCTGTCTTCTCAATCACTCCCTGACGGGGGTCCATCAAGCCCCCCAGCTTGGGGCGGCCCCCTTCTGTTGTCTCAGGGTACTTGATCCCCCCCTCCGTCACTGACATCCGTTTCTGGTGGGATGTGAAATGGAAATTGAGGATCAGGACTGTGTTGGAAATAGCACCACTCACAAGGTCAATGGTGCAACAGCAGGCTGGGCTGTCAGCCTCAGTGAAACACAGGTGGGGGGCTTAAGGACTATAGAAAGCACAAGATATTTCATGATGGGTCTGACTGATGGGTCCCTTTATCCCAATATCCTGTCTACAATGCCAAACGCTAAATCAAATGGCTCCCAGTAAGTCAATGAGCTGGTAATTTACACATTGCTTACAGACCACATTTCACCAAGGAGGGCTAATATAACAAATCAGGTGTAGGAGCCATCAAAACTCCCTTCCTGATTGCCGCTGTAAGGTGTAACTGATCACTGTTAGCCCTTTTGTCAACACCAGCCTTTCACACAAACCCACAACCCAAAATTACAGTCGCTACATTTGAACCTAGAAATAAAATTGACCACCCACAATATATTCCATCCAATTGGAGCGGTGTACACATTTTAAAAACTATAACAATCTGGTTTCTGAAAACTAAGTTAATATCAGTATTTGCTTCAACTAGTTTTTTATTTAAATAAACACCATGTTTTTCAGCTGGCTCACATCACAACCAAATTAATCCCACTTTTTTAAATTTACCACTGCTACAAATAATGCTTAAAAATTACTGCAATAAGAAAATTGGGGATCAAGTCAATTCTTTTTTTTTGAACCAGGTGGCTTTTTGTATCACCAATGTCCTTACTTTTCACACAGCAAACACACAGAGAAAGAACATGACAAAACATTTACATGTGGCTGGAAGATCACAACGTTTGACAGGACTCCGATGAGAGTACCTGAAATTACTTTGAACGGATTTAAAAAGTTATTGGCAGCATCACTTTCCAATGGATCTGAGGGGTTAATACAACGCTCTGCAAATCACTTCTGAAAAATGTTTGGAAGGAATCAAAACTTTGAAATATTTGCACTGTCTCCATTCGCAATCTGTATTCTCCTTCCCAAATAAAACCCCTGCAAAGTGTCTCAGTGACCCACCATCTGAAGTCGGCTTTGCCCAAGAAAGCTCATACCACCATGTACATGTTTTGTTAGTCTTTACGGTGTTACTAGAGTATTTGTTGTTTGTTAAGTTCTTCCTGTTACAGACTAACTCGGCTACGCTCCTGAAGCTTTCAAAAATCAATGTTGATCCCAGAATCTGGCAACCAACAGCACAGAACATAAGCTTTCCCTTCCACAGTTGTACATCTGTCTGTGCCTGCCCATATTCCACAGAACACCCCACTGACTTGGTCACAAGCCCCCTTGTTTGTTTATACCCTAAGCATGACCTGACTTTTCCACACCTTTAATTAAGTTACATATCTCACAAACATCCTTCACTTCCTCGTGTCTTCAACACCCCAGTTACATCACACCCTGTATCCCTTAGCTATTGTGTACCCCTACTCCGTTGTATGCAATCCCCAAACCCACTGCTTTCCCCACAAACCTGCATTCTTCTCCCTGCGATCCATGTAACTGAGCTGCCCACACTTTCCATGCTGCCCCAAATGCATTGCCAAGGCCACTAAAGCTGGTCACCTCAAATATATTGTATATACCCAGTTTATAACACAAACAGGCCTTATTGCTCCACAAATTTGTTGCATATTACCTCCCACCACCACACACTGCAAGAACCCTAATTGCTCCCTCCATCTGCATAGCCAACTCAATGCTCCTGTGTTACAGGGCACAACCCCACAGTCACTGCAATGCACCCTCACACTGTACAATGTACTCTCCCCATTGCAACAGTATACCCCTTCTCAGTGCACAGTCCCTTGCACTGTGACCCCAGTAGCACTGGACTGTGCAATACACCCCAGTGTAATGCATTGGCCCTATGTGCCATTAGGCCTCTTGTGCAAGACACAACCCCCTCACCCTAATACAAACGCAGTGCACCCCACAGCACAGTGAACCCTCAACCTCCAATGAAATCCCCAAACACGACTATACTGTACAATGCACCCCTAATTGAACAGTGTCCAACATCTACCATTACACCATGCAATACACCCCCAATGCAATGGACTCCCAACACATCCTAGACAGCAATTACACGGTGCATTGCACCCCAATATACTCTGAACAACCATTGTACAGTACAACGCACCCCCAATATACTATTACATCGTGCGACGCATTCCCTTGTGCAATGCACCCCCAACTGCATTGTACGTCACGCCCCCCAAATTCGCCTTCGCTCCCGGGCACCCACCATCTCATCAGGGCTGAGGATGCCGAACTGCACGCGCTTGATAGTGCGCAGCGGGCACGCGCTGTCCCCGGAGGGCGGCCCCCCGTGCATATTGGATCACGTGACGCGCCCGCGCGAGGCGGCGGCCTTGTCCTGCGGCTGAAACGGTCTTGTCTCCCTCCTCCCCTGCTCCGGGACCCCCGCCCCTCTTACCGGGGAGGGAACCCCCCCAAATACCGCAGCCCCTACGGATCGGTGCGCCCTCCCGCACGCGCCCCCTCCCCCTCCGA